AGCAGGTTTACAGGAGATGTAGTTTATATATACTTTAATTACAGTAGCTTCTTCTTCCCACTCATCCCAATTTTGCTGAGAGTTGTAGGAACAACAGATCATAGGATTGTCACTGCCCAGATTGCTCAGAAAGCCATTTGACAAGACAATAAAGAATAGATGGTAGAGTTATTATCCCAGTTCCCACCTATGAAGCCACTATATGGATACAGCCTGGACATTTTCAATATAAATAACATTTTAGTCCCTAATGTCTTTCAAAAAACTCATTTCAAATTATTATTCCTAGGACAAACCAGGACTTCTTCGTAGACCCAAGAATTCAGCCTATATTCTCCCCTTCAAACTTAGTTATTTTTTTGAAGGTTGATTTTACTGTTCTCCACTTACTATGTCCTGCAAGTCCTCAGCTGGGTTCTGAGGAGGAATATGAATGCAAGAAAGTACACGACAGCCAGAAGATTTGCTGTACCAGGGTAACACACACAACTTTCTCAGATGCATCACTTGTTCATCTCAGGTTGCATGAATGGTTGTAGTGGTGATGCCCTTATTAAACATTGAACCTCATATGCAAACTTTGAAATAAGTTCAATGCAATGAAGTAAGAAACATACAATCACAGAATATCTCAAGTTGGAAGGGACCCATAAAGATCATTGAGTCCAACTGCCTGCTGCTTGCAGGACTACCTAAAACTAAACCAGATGCTTAAGAGCATCATCCAGTCACTCCAGAGTCTAGTGTTTCTGACACTGAGTACTCCACAGAGATCCACACCACAAATAGGTGTATCTGCCACCCCAGAGCTAGCGTTAGAACCTCTGTCCCAAGGTAATGCAGATACATTCAACAGTATGGATGGTGGACATCAACTGAAGTTGACACCAGAAATAAAAAATACATTGATAGCAGAGAAGAATCAGACTTACCTGGGTCACCAAGAAGCCAAGGGAAGTGTTTGGAAGAGCTATGAGAGAGAAGAGCTTTTATATCAGAGCATCTGGAGGTGCAAGATCAACATTGGTTGCCCGCCCCAATTTCGAACATGTGTAAGCCATCGAGATGATGAAATTGCTGTTTATTAATGGAGTTGATGAGTCCTTTCAAATTTGTTTGTAATAAGGACCTAAACATTACTGTAGATTATAGAGAATTCTTTCATCTTGTGACAACTTGGGGAAAATTAACACCTGGCACTATTCCAGGTACTTCCTTGAAATTACGAGAGAAACTATTAAGCCAGCTCCTCTTTTATTAACTTAACACCTGGAGAGTGTCTCATGGGTTTATCAGAATTATAAACTGCTGTCATAGACAGGATTTTTGTTTAAGTACATATAATTCAGATTACAACCTGCCAGGACAGAAGCTAAAGACTGACAATGTGATATGCAGAAAGGTTGGGGGTGGTTTCTGTATGTTTAGCTTCCCCAACTACAGTTGGAGGACACATCACCCTTGGGAGTCGATGTTTTCCAGTAGCATTTGACACTGGCTGTAATGGGGACAATTCAGCTCAGAAGAGCAGCAGCATCTCCAGGGGCCTGCAACGTGTGCTTCAGTCTCTAAATAAGGCTTATGTGGAAACTGCAATTTAACCTTGAGCGGAAAAATGGTGAAATCCTTTGTTTTGCAGTGCTGGAACTCTTCTCATGCAGATATGGGCTGAATCAGTTTCCTCGTTCACTGGTCACTCAAACAGTTGTATTCGCTCACAAAAACATGTAGGTTAAGTCTGCAGAATTTCACACAGGAGGCAGAGATGAAGTCTTCGTCTTCCTGGGGCTTGATTTTGTTGTTTTAGAGATAAACAAGGAATGAGTTTTTGAAGTTAACTAAAGCTACAGTGGGATTTGAGATCCCAAAGAGACTTCTTCCAGGTATTGTTGGTTTGATGTTGTCAGTACAAAGATGGTACTTGAGAATATTTAACAGGCAGGAGGAAACGCAACTTTTTCAGTACAAGTGGATCCTCTGGTGCAAAAACTGAAATATGACAGAAGCGCTTTGAATTATTGACTTTGATTCTCAGGAATTCATGACCTCCTGTAATACCCTATTGGTGCTGCGAGCCATAAGCCCAGAGCAGGGCTGAGCTGGCAGCTTCTGCGAACAGGGAACGATGACGTACTTGCAATGCACCACGCGGAACAAAGGCCGGTTCTTTCCTTCTTTACAGATGTGTTGTTTTAATACTGCAGACTCTATGCCATAGATTATCTCTAAATTGTGAGGTGGGTTTCTTTGTGGGTTTGTGGGTTTTTTTGGACACTAATATTTTCAAGCTTCCAGGGAGCAAGTCTTTTCGTATGCCGCAAACAATCCACTAATGGTTTAAGAATGCATTCTAACAATTAGATTACAGGCATGTAGCTGGATTGAGGTGCCTAGCAATTATGGCATGACATCACATTAAAATATGTAAGTCAAAGTATTTGTGTCCTTGGTATAATCAGTTCATGGCTGAATACTGGGGATTTGTGTATCTTCATTTTTTTTCAATGTAAGAGTATAGAAATGTAAAATTTTAAATAAAATACAGCATTTCTTAGGCTGTATAATCAGTGTATCTATATCATTTCAGTTGCACATCGGACCACACAAACAGAGGATTTAATTATTTTCTTGAGATGTTACAATTCTATCAATGATCAGACTTTATCCGTGTAAAAGATTTCTCTGTCTCTATCGTGGCTTATATCCAGATAGCTTTAGCAAGTTGCCACCAGTCATGTTTCATTTAATTTATTTCTCAGTAGTCTTCAATACTGTCTGATCTGAAGATGGACCTAAAAAAGGATCCCTGAAGTCTTCCTATCAGGAGATAGAAAGCTGGAAAATGTGGGTGACACGCTTCACAAAGAAAGCGTCTTGCAATCTTGAGAACAGAAAAGCTAAGTATTAGTTTGCCTCTAGACTCCAACCTGGGTTGAAATACAGTGAGAGGGATCTGTTAGAAAAATCTGAGTGTTTAAAAGGATTTTTTATCATAGAATCATAGAATGGTTTGGGTTGGAAGGGGCCTTAAAGATCATCTAGTTCCAACCCCCCTGTCATGGGCAGGGACACCTTCCACTAGACCACGTTGCTCAAAGCCCCGTCCAGCCTGGCCTTGAACACTTCCAAGGAGGGGAACAATATCCACCTTCCGCTTAAAATGGTCCAAAGGACTTGCCAGTGTTTGACAAAAGGACAGGGAGAGTAATCCACTGCTGAGTGCACAACAAAGCAAAGAA